GCGACTGATACGGATTCTCTGTGCGCCCTCGCACAGACGAGACGGATGCTATTTGAAGGTGGAGGGAATCGAGACCTGACAGAAAGGAAGCGCCCTGAGGATTTTGCAAGTGCGGTGGAAAAGAAGAAAAAAAAAACAGAGATTGAGAAAACGAGAAAGACGAGAGAGAGAGAAGCGTACAGATAAAGCAGCGAGAAGGCCGAAGAGGAACGGAAGAAAGGAAGAAAGAACCGACAGGTTTACGCCGGCGGCAGCTGTAAGCGACGACGAAGTTTTTCAACACGAGCATTGCAAGTTGTCTGACTGGCGCCAAGAGCAAGAGAAAAAGGAAAAAAAAAAGAGCGCCGCTCTTCTTAGTTAAAATTTTATTTCGACGACAGATCTTTAGAAAAGGGCGCGACGTGCGCACGTGAAAGCACGTCGCCATCGACGCAAACATATTAAAACACCGCTCGTACCTAGCGCAGCAGCTGTAACAGCGGTCGTATCCGACGCTCGCTCGTTCGGCCGCGGTAGTTTATGGGGTATAGACCAACACGATAACTAATAGGCACTGCAAAAAACGCTGTAGAGACCCAGTCAGACAATACTTGTCGCTATGTGCAGTACAGTACACTGTTAAATGGAACACTCGTGCGAACACACTTCATATTGCTGACCCTCTAACGGCAAGTGCATGTGCGAACGTTGTTTGTACATGGCATTATTCTGTGAAGAGTCACAGCTATGAACCACCAGCAATCCTATGCAAATCTGTCATGTATTTTTGTAAGAAGGCAATATCCAGACACGCTCTACACGCAGGTGTTTCCATTAACTGTGGACCAGCCTGTACGTAATGACGAGCATAAGTGACTAGTCATAACATGAAAATTATGACATGTCATGATTTACATTTCATGGTTTTGCTGCCCTTGCGGTGGTTTCATTTACACGACATATTGCCAAACTGAACATTACTGCATGGCGAAGATAAGTAACAGACCCAAACGTGGAAATCATGACATACATGTCATGCAAGTCATGACTACACTCCATGCTCATGGTGCGCTCAGTCGTTTCGCTAGCTTCACGTATACCAAATTTGGCATTACAGGATGTGAATGGATGACAAAGGTATATGACTGGTGCAAACATGATAATCATAAGATGCGTGTCATGTAACAACATGACTCACGCTTATGATGCACTCGCGGCCGTTTAGCTAGCTTCACATATACTCAATTTGGTATTACGTGACGCGAGCGAACGACGAAAGTAAACGACAAGACCAAACATGATAATTATGACATGTGTGTCATGTAGAACATGACTACATGCTATGCCCATAGTGCACTCGTGGTCGTTTTACTAGCTTTCCATATACCAAATTTGGTATCGCCCGACCTAAATAGACAATGAAGGTAAATGACATGTCCAAACATGATAATCATGATATGTGTGTCATGTAAAGCGTGACTATATGCTACCCTCAGTGTGCTCGCGGGCATTTCGCAAGCTTCACATTGGTGTTACCTGACGAGACAAAATTTGGTGCTATGTGACGTGAATGAACAACAAAGGTAAATGACACGTGAATTGATTATAAGCATGGCGTATGAAATTTCACACACTGAAAAACGGCTGATCTCTCTATAGCCGCAACAGTTGGGGGCAATCAACCAGTGAGTTGGAAATTATTCACCTTGTTTGTGGGGATGAAGTAACTTTTCTGCTCACGACCCGCCCACTGCGCCGAGCCGACCATGCATTTAAAAAGCTGACGAACTAATTTTGGCTATTGCCACTGCGGCGCACTTCGAAATGAATTTAGATCAGAAAGCATTTTAAAGGTTACAAAACAACTTGTGCTCTTCGCTATCATTCATGAAAAATTAACGAAAGTTGGGGGACCCTTAGGCTTTTTGGTGACTGAAAAAATTTCAGTAGTTTGCTGCAGAGAATGAAGACAGTACAAGCGCAAACTATACACAAACTAGTACAAATGCAAACTATCCGCACACTCTATTGATAGTTTGCACTTGTACTGTCCACTTTATTTCTTGTGTCCTGTATAACTTCGTTCTCCACAGCAACTGTACCAAAGTTTTTTCAGTCACTTTGGCTTCACCTTTAAGAGATGAATGTGGTAGCGATATTCTGATCCTAGTGCATACTTCAAACACAGTGTATGAAATATTTTCAAACTTCCTATGCAACCACTAAGTGTACTAGGGTGCAGTAACGTGTGTGCCTTTTGTAGCGGCTGACTGGCTTTAAGCCATGAAGTCATTATGATAATGACAACTTCTGATGACCGATGGCAATGTACGCTTGTACCACACATTATTACGGCAATAGTTCACGCTGTATTTGTGAAGCATGTATACAGGACGCCTGTGTGGTAAAACATGAAAGTTACTTCCACTGCGTTTTACAAGCAGAGGAAGTTATTTCCACTATATACACAAGTAGAGGTGTCGCTGTGTGATAGAACACCCTCTTGCCACGCAAACGACTAGAGTTCAAACCCCACAGATACCTGCATTTTTATTATATATTTTATTTGCATCTTTTTGAATGCTTCGGTCCCGCAAAGATGGAAGATTTTTCCAGTCACGCAAAAAAATATTTTCCGCTCATAACTAATGACGCCGTCGGCAGCATTTTTGTGAAACAAGTTGTTTTAACGCTATCACGTGTACACTTTAACACATATTTTACATCATGTCTATTTACTGTTGCGGCCGGAGTTCGCTGCACCAGAGATCCGGGATCAAGATGTCGAGGCAGGAGGAGGTCGAACTTCGTAGAAAGGGTTCATTTACAATATTCACATGGCATGGGCTCTCTGGCCCGAAGCTCTACATTGAAAAAAGGCTGTCTATTGAACAAGCTCCGTGAACCACACTCAGCAGCCCGCGAGGGCTGATTAAATACAGTCTCACCTCCCCAGATCCCTAGATTCCGGAACAGGTTCACACGGCACTGTCCAATAACATGTCCCACAGCACACACGAGGGTCATTATGCTGGCGCCTCCCCCAACAAAGACACATACACAAACAAAACACGTGTATGGTCCCGGCGATGCTGCCTCCTTTGGCGAATCTTGCTTGAGCGACGTGAAATGAGTCTGTCATCTCGCCGCTCAGGCCGACCACCCATGCTTTATCGTACGGCAGTCGTGGTCTAGGCACCTTCGAGAGGCCATGCTTGGACATCTGGTGCTGATTTGAGCGTCAGCAGCTCATCAGTCAGAGATGCACAGCGTGATGGTCTGACGTCCGTAATCGGCAGAAGCTCGACATTGTGGCTTCTACTGGGGCACGAAGACACCACTGTGTCACATCTCTTGCGCGGACCCGAAGGACAGCGGTGCTTCGTAGAGTAATTTCAGCTACGCAGCGCCCAGCACATGGCAACAGCAGGGCGTCTTGGCGCTGCTCCTTATTTCCACAAAATGAGGCAGCTGCCTTTTTTCAGTTTTGGAGGCCGCGGCAAAAGGATGGCCCGCCAAACGCAACACTATGCACTAGGACCGGCATAAAGCAACCTTGCACAACGTGACAGTTGCAGAAAGCCGCCACCCATATGAAACGAAACAGCCATTAACAGTTGTTGTGAACAAGGACTTTTTTCCACTGCAATCGCCACATTTGAAACGACTAAGGCAGTTTTGCACAGAATGTGTACCGCATTTCAACGCTGATGTATAGAAAATTTACCAGTGAAGGGTCACGTGATGGAGATCATATGCTTGCTCACTTTCCTAATGCGTGGGGCCAAAAGAAACTTTTACTTTAGATTTTTGAAGAAATAATGATACATAATTCCATGTGTAAAAAGAAAAGCAAGGTTCATTGTAACCAATGAAATGATCACTTTTTCAGCTAGTTTGGTTATCTAGATTTGTGTTCTGAACAATAATTGCTTGTTTCTCTAACTGCATGCTCATATCACACAACTTTCCATCGAGTACCATTAGGAAATTAATCAGCAGGAGAACCAGACACTTGACAACTTAGCAAGCCTGACTCACTGCGGCGTCATGCAAGTGTCATGAAAGCATTGAAGTGTCTTAGACATGTATCCCACGACACTTCCAAAGCCGAATTTCTTGTTACCATGAACCAGAAATTCATAGAGACGAAAGAACTGGATTATTTGATGAACCACGCACGGAAAGCTAGAGTTCAGAGCAACTCCACGAAATATGCGTTTTTGCTTAAAATTCTGGCATTTCATATGTTTCTAGAAATAGCCCATTAAGGGCTATTTCTGAAGACTTACTCATTGGCAAAAGCTAAGGGCTAATAGGCTAATACTTGAACAACCTCTACAATGAATCGCCTACTTTTCGAGTGCACATACACGTCGTTAGAAGCCACTATTATGAGAATATTTCTTGGGGTTTAACATACCAAAACCACGATGTGATTATGAAAAAACCCATGATGGAGGGCTCCAGAAATTTTGACCACCTGGGGTTTTTTAACGTGCAGCTGAATCTAGGTACACGAGCCTCAAGCATTTTCGCCACAGTTGAAAATGCGAACGCCGCCTCGCCGCAGTAGTGTAGTGGCTAGGGTACTCGGCTGCTGACGCGCAGGTCGCGGGATCAAATCCCGGCTGCAGCGGCTGCATTTCCGATGGAGGCGGAAATGTTGTAGGCCCTTGTGCTCAGATTTGGGTGCATGTTAAAGAACCCCAGGTGGTCGAAATTTCCGGAGCCCTCCACTACGGCATCTCTCATAATCATATGATGGTTTTGGGACGTTAAACCCCACAAATCAATCAATCAAAAAATGTGAACGCCCCGGCCGGGATTTAACAATGCAACCTGCGGGTCAGCAGACTAGCCCCATAACCACTAGACCACCATGGCGGGTGATTGTGAGAAGCTAATTTCCCAGATTCAACAACATGCTTGGAGCATTTCGCCATCAATCAGTCGACCTGCTTGGTCACCTGCAAAAAACCTGGAAAAAAAGAAGAGGAAGACAATCATGCAATACACACCCGTGGTCGTGGTGAACCCGTCGAACCGTCTGGCTGATCTAAGTCCATGGCCACACTGCGTCCCACCTCTGAAGAACAAAAGGGTTGACCTCGCATCAGGGCTTTTGTGCAGATCTGCCTCGAAGAGAACGCTACACAAAAGCTGTGCTATGTTGCCTCTGCAAACAATACCTGGATGTTGGAGTGTTCAAGTAGCATGGCAAAAGATTTGTCAGTGTTCCTGGATGAAATTCTTACTCTTAGGTTTACTGAATGTAGCAAGAACGTGAAACCTGCATTGCAAATGTCTGAGCAATGCTGCTGTGTGTAGCAATAAGGTTACTCGAAAGTTGCAGACATCTGAGCTTCAGCACAGCACTGAATGTACGCTGCATTAACACCCCTTTTGAATGTTGTGAGAATGCATTTGAAAATGACCATTAGCGATGTTTGGGCAACATTGGACGGCAACATTGCCCCGGTGTTACGGCAACAGTGTGTGTTACTGGGGTCCTCATCACACTGCCAATGTAACAATTTAACCAAGTAACACTAACTAAACTTGATTTCATTACATCCCACACGCTATTGCATGAACAAAGTGTCATCCTAATTGATCTCAACCATAGCCACCTGTGTCACATTGCTTTTGAAGGAGGTGGGAAGCTAAGAAACCTGCACTTGACGCTCGTATAATTATGCCTACTACGTACAATAAAAATATTAGTCTAAATGCACATGCTTGACAGTGTCACAATATGCAACAGCCGCTCAAAAGATAACTTCAGCCAAGAGCCAAATGTAGAATGACATGAAAGACAGCTTTATGACGCATTGAAAAAATGTGCTTGGCTTCTCTCATAATTGTATGAATTACAAAAACCAATAACTGTTTAGTTAGCAATGTGATATTACTCTGTCAACAATACTCAATGAATCAGCAGCAATAAATCAATCAATCAGTATGCAATGTACACTGAGACTATGAATTTGGTTTTAAATAAAGAGCTAAAGGTTGTGGATTCACTTGAAGTTTTCACTAAATTTCATTAAATTTTTTTTTCAAGTGACGGGAATGTACAAATGTATTTCGTTGGAAATGACATTGCATGTGATGTGCAACAGGGATGAAATAAGCGGTGTGTGGTGATCCCCCTTTTCCTTTACTTACCAAGCAGGCATTTCCTCAAGGCTGCCTTCCGGGTCTGCTCATCACCATCCCTGCGCTGCCCGTCAAAGTCCTCGAATGTCAACTTTGGCAACTGCATAGCGATTCACTATTTAAAGCCCTCGAAGGCAACTCGATGCCTCGAAGCATGTGACTTCATCCCCACCTTTCCACCTACTTCTAATTGCTTCATCTTAAATGTATAAGAAGAGCTGTACAAATAGCGAAATTCCAGGTTCGAAGCTAATTCAAACATTAAATTTGAGTGCGAATCAAATATGAAATTCTTCTAATTCTTCCAAGCAAAATGACAGGAAAAAAGTAGCAGAGCATTTCTAAGCACATTCTGATGAGATGGGAACATGAAAGTATTTTCTTTGGCTAGATTGGTATTACAGAGGGTGCAGCAAATTTTGGAGTTGTGTTGTAAGGAATGAAAAAAATATACAAGTCAAAATCTCTAACATGTTCTATACAACCACAGAGGAATCAACAATACCTTACATGTCGTCTTCCACTTTGTCGTTAAGGTACTATAAATTGCAATGCTCAGAAATCCTCTGTAGATGACTACAAGCACACAACATGGACATTGGAGTAGCTGCAGCTATGCGATTCCAAATCGCGGTGCATGCTGCTGCAATACTGCTTCCACAAAAGTTGAAGGCCAACTGATGTGGTGCACACAGGCATGCTTTCTTTGCTAAGGGAGTCCCGCCATGGGGATTGTCCATTATCCTCCTCTACTCTGCACCATAGAGTCAGCCCCTCCTCTATTTTATCAATGCCAGCCAGATGTGCCCGATCCAGCTGTTCACCACCCTCTCCTCTAGACCTTCCCTATTCTCTCCCATCACCTAGCCTTCGCGAGGTGATGGGCAAGTATCTAGAGCGGGTATGTGCACCAGGGGATGCTAGATGGCGGTACTTGGAGTGTTTACTAGATGGACGCACGGACGGACAGACGCACAGACAGGCTAGCAGATGGACGGACGAATGCACAGACAGATGGATGCACAAACAGATGGACGGACTCTCGGACAGACAGACGGACGCACAGATGGCACAGATGGAAGCACGGACAGGCTGACGGTCGCTTCGCCCCACTCACAATCAGGGTGGTGTCTTGAATTAACCGCGCTCATATTTTAGTTGTCACGCTGGCTCTCTCAAAAGATAAGCATTTTGAGATAGCATGTCATTGTTCGAGGTGCTATGCGGAAAACCCAGGGGGAAGAGTCACTGCAATGCTACTGTATGTGCTGACCTTAAAAGCTCTGTGATCCAGCAGCGCCATTGCTTCGAGCCACAAAGAAAGAGCTTGAAGGAAGAAATCTAACAGACGTATGATATACTCCCTGTAACATCCTTTTATGACAGATAATAAACTGATTGATTGATTGATCAATTGATTGGAGCAAGAAACAGTCTATCAGGTCGTCAGGAGAAAGCCCTCAGAAGTACATGTGATTCGAACAGCACTACCCTTCATATCGTGCCACATCGCGACCACTCCTTGAACTACGGTGGACCGGCAGCTACCCTTGAAAAGCACGCGTTTGCACTAGCATTGTAAGATAAAGGAGGCGCTGATTGAGTAGTTTGTGGCAAAAGACCCTTTTCAAAACTGTAAAAAATAAATTTTCGGCTATGCAGTTTGAACAACTAACGGCAGTTTACAATTCAGTGCCAATATCCTGTTTAAGCATAGTTTGCTACGCAATGACGTTGAAAATCTTGAGTCTCCTCACTTCATATAAACACTCATGACAGACAAGCTTCGGCACGTTCAACTAGGACCGCCTCTCCGCATTAAGCACTACAGGTGGCATCATTACTTGTTTTTATATGCAGCGCAGAGAAGCGCACTTGTAAATTATGAAAAGGGTCTACGTTGGCACTGGCACCAGTTCTTGCGGGAGACAAGTCTCATTTTTTTTTTTTGCACACAGGTTTTGTAGATGCTGGACAAAACAGTGTTTTTTTGTGTCGAAAAATTAGGGTAAAATGTGGCTGAAAATAAAACAATCTCTTCTGCACAGTAAACGTTGGAAAAAGCGGCAGCACACTGTCTGCTGCGCGAGAACGAAACCCCGCAGTTAGCTGTCAAGTGACAGTTGGTGTAACATGCCGTGTTGGGCCAGGCCAAGATATCCCGATATTTTGAGTTCTTAAAGCGATCCTAGCGAATTTCACATTGGAGGCTGACTTTGCGGAGCCATGAAACCATTCAGAAACCCAATTTTGCAAACTGAGTCCAATGAGTACGAAACCAAAACCACGTACTCAACAAGGCTGTCTGTAGCAGCAAAATAGAAACGGTGCACGCCTCTTCGGTTATGAAAGTTCACATCAAGCGAAAGTTTACATGCCATGAACTGGTACGTTTAGTCAATTTTTCGCACCTAACACCTGTGTCCCCGAGTGCTAACTAGAGAAGGTTGTTGTCAGCTGCAGGTCAACGAATGAAAATTTTTACAAGCCAGAAAAGAACAAATATAAAAAAGTGCACAAAGAAATAACTCAATATTAGGAATTCAGTTATTTTTTTTTTCCAGTCCTCTTTCTTCACATGTGCATTACAGTTAAATCCAATAACATACCCTCTAACAGAGAAAACAAGCCCTTGAATTTACTCCTTTCCTTCATAAATAAGCTGCATGTTGCATCGTACCTGTATATGTGCCAAATGGCTGTTTCATACGTGCATACTATATGATGAATAATGAACTGGCAAGCACTTGATAGTTTGAAGAGCATAGAACTGATGGGCGGCCCATGGAAGCAGATACAGTGCAACATTGCATACAACTACAAGATAGTGATCCCACTTACCGGTGGTTTGGCACTGCCACTGTCAGCTGTACTGCTGAAAGGAAAAGAAGAGAGAGCTGCATAAAGCGAAAGAATATAATTTTGCTATAACATTACAACAAGAACAAGCTTTCAAACTTGCAGGCCACCACAACATATACGTCTCCACTGTACGTTGGATAGGAGCTTGTTATTAACAGGCAATGTCGCTCACATCACATACAACTACACTGAAACCTCGATATAACGAACCCGGATATAACAAATTATCGGTTTTAACAAAGTGGTGAATAGTTTTGTCGCTAAATAAACGTATGTCGCTAAATAAATAAGCATTGTGCACTTAAATAAATATCTGCACATGTTCAGTGCTTACGACACCTTGAAAGGGTAATTCACAAATGTGAGTAAGCTAGCTTTCTTCTCAACAGCGTACAAACGAACAGCAAATACTCACTTTTCCTTTGAGATTCCACTATTGTCGAATGCCTCTGCAGCGGCAGCGTTCCCTCCTTGGATGGCACACACAAAGCTGTTGCTCCGATGGCGCGGAAACGGTGGCGTCGAGTCCAGCACCGCCGCGGTCCGCATCTCAATGGGCACCTCATGCTCGTCGACAGCCCTGTCGTACAGTACGTCGGCAGCAGCCAAGGGCTCTGTTTGGCAGTCGCAAGACCTCGTCATTGCTGCCTGTTCGGTCTGCGTCCCTCTCGCCACCGGCGAGTCACGCGACAACAAGGTGGGGCACGAGAAGGTGCTGGAGAAGCGACCCGCGTGACGGCCTCGGCAGCGACCAATGCACCTGCGTGCAAAACAAGCATACAGTCTGTTTGAAATGGCCACGTTACCTTATTTTGATGAACACTCAAACTTTCTTATAAGCACAGTCAATCAGTCATTACTAGACACCGGATATTAGGCAAATGCTGATTTGTTTCCCATCATGCCGCTTTGATATACGAGCTTGAATTAAAGATTGTGGAGGGTTTTAAAGATGATAGTCTTTCTTGGGAACCTTCGACAAAAAAATATTGGTCTGTCTGTCTGAACATTTGTCTATTTGCCCGCCCTTACCGATACCTCAAACGGCACTAAACGTACAACTCCATCCACAGCGCCCACCAATATTGCACAATATTCAGCGTTCATACTTTTGTAACTGTCAATTAAAAAGCAATAATTGTGCATATCTGAGGCACCATAACAACACGTAGATGTTTTTTATGTGTGCCTTTATACTAGAGAAGGCACACAGAAGTAATTCCAAGGACCGTAGTGTTTATCGCGCTGCGCTGACAGTGCAATGCGATGCTCAAAAAGGTAAGTGCTTCCAATGCTTTGCTAAGACGACACGGTGGTGGCACGGTGGTGCTACACCTTATCACCTCCGAGACAAGCACGAATCTTTCTCCGCAGGCGTGCACACCTTCCTTCGTTTTCGAACTGTCAGATAGCGCTCGTGTCTAACGTTCCTCGATGCTATTCCTCTTCCTCTCGTTCGCCTCCGCTATACGCTCGAGGCGCTCTAACACAGCGCCTCCAGAATACCATTCACCAATTTTTTTGTGCAGGACATCAAGTAAACGTATTGTTCACTCTCTCTCGACGCAAGACTGTCGTCTTTCGACGACATATGCGGTGTAACATGCAGATTCGAGTTAATTTTTCATATTGGTTTTATAGTGCCTATAAATGCCTATTTTGGAAGTTTGTTCCGAAATTCTTACAAGTGCCTACAAGTGCCTATTTCAAAATCAGTGCCTATACGACCACTATTTCACCTAAAATTCTGTTTTCGAGTACAGTTTGAGAACGTCTTTCACTTTAGCGGGTGAAATCGACCTTTCGGGATGATATGCTGGGTAACCTAGCTTTGTAGCTCAACGAAGTCATAAACAACCATCAGCAGTCGCGAAAGGAGTCACCCCGGGCACCTTACGCTATCCCACTGACACGGTGCGAGTGGTTGCAGGAATAGGAAGAGAGGAAAAGAAACTATTTCTGCTATCCTAAAAAGGAGCACGCATAGTGGAATGGGGAGAGTAAAATGTGAGGAGGAGAGAAGAACAGGAGACCGGCGCCTATAGCAGAGGACTTGGGGGGTGGCTTTCACAGCCAGTTTTCCAAGCCAGTTTTCCCAAGGAATTGGACCACCTGATTGAAGATTTGGGTGTGGTGGGGAGCAGGGAACAGGAGGTGACTGTGCAGGCACAGGAAGAAAAAGACCAAATGTGAAACTGTCAAGTGCCGTAGAGCATAGGTCAAAAGTAAAATAATGATGAGCACGTGATTTTGCGTAAAACATTTAACAATGCTTAAGGTTTTCTGTCGAAACTGGCAGTTGTCAAATGATGAGGTACCATCCAAGTTTTCATACATAATTTCCCATCGACTCCTCTTAAGCGCTGCCTAATGTCCAAACCTGGCGAGTGACCCTTTAAGGAACAAAGTGCTGATGGATCCCGTTAAACACAAATTGAAGGGACTGACAAAAGATGTTCCACATAACAGGACGGCAATTTACAGACTGGCATACTGCAGTGCAAAATTCAATTACCAAGCCGGCCATATTAAACAGTCTTTGCAGAGAGCCCGCTGTAATGAACAGGCATACAGTAGGCAGACTTACCCACAAGCCTGGCAACCCGAAGGCCTCCTGGAACGGTGCGTCTCTGAGGTGTCGTAGTGGCGGTCATCGGGATGAACACCTGCAGAAAGAACAGTGGCACTTTGATCTCGTTCGCTTGCTTTTCGAGTATCCATTAACATCACTCGGGTTTACAACAGAAAAAAAAGGTAAAAGCTCTAATGGGTATCCAAGAAGCAAACTATCTCTCTCGTATTAATGGTTACAATTTTACAGTATCAATAGCACCATTCCTAGCGCAAGAAAATGCTTGTAAGCAAAGAAATGTGCGAAATAAATATAAATGCTACTTCCACTTAGTTTTTATGCAAGCACGCAGTGACATTAGATTCTGACATTTTCCACTTCCTTGACAGTTTTCGCTGAAATCTAATTTATACTCTGTTCCAAGAGAATTTCTCACGAGTTTAAATAGGGTGAAAATATGCCTATTCACATACTAAGTTTCGCTGAAAAGTTTGAACCTGAGAATTTCACCTTCGCTACCTCTTCTAATAATTATTCTATGATGGCAAAATTTGTGAAAGTGAAGTCCTCTATAGATAATTTATAATCTCTAACTCACTCATGATTACCCTTTAGTGTCCATTTAATGCATGCATACACTGCATGAACACAAGGAATTGAACCACCTGATTGAAGATCTGGGTGTGGTGGGGAGCAGGGAACAGGAGGCGACTGCGCAGGCACAGGAAGATAAAGACCAAATGCGAAACTCTAACTCACTCATGATTACCCTTTAGTGTCCATTTAATGCATGCATACTCGCATTCAACAATTACATAAAAATTAGTTTACAGGTCGTTATGTTTCCCAAATATAAAATTGAATTTAAATGCATCAAAACAGTGCAGCGTGTCCGATACACTGGGAAATACAGCGTTAACTCTGTCTGGCACATCTTATGAAGACCTGTTTGTAAATGTCTCAAACTTACACCACATTATTACAAGGTACTCATTCTATTGTAACAAAAATATTGTCCAAATACATTCAGTCACGTTTTTGTAGTAACCAAACTAAAAATAACTTGTAAATAAATATAATGCTTACGTTATTATTGTGCTATTACATCGTAAACAGAAACAAATCCCAGATTACAAATATAGTGCCATTTCATTTTTGGTTGAACTAATGCGAACGAAGAAGTGCGACAGTTCTCACATGGCTGACAGAAACTGGCTTATTGAACGACTCAAATGTGGCAGTGCTTTTGTTAAAGTGATTACACGCTATATGGTATGCTACAAAATGAAGTTAAGAGGGGACGTAGCAATGAAAATTATCTTTGTTATTTATGAAGCTAAAATGATGAAATTCGGCATGCAGATGACATTTGTTGTGCTGATAAAACTTAAATCGGTTTTGAGCTAACTAAGGTAACTTTTCAGTCATGACACTTGATAAACTCTCATTGTCACCCCAATATTAATTAGCTAATTAGACACAAGTTCCTCAGAATTTTTGCATAAGGATATTTACAAGGGTCCATTTAGTGTCGTAATGCTATTCGTTCATTTTTATTATTTCAATAAGCACACAAAATTTTTTCTGGAATGTACTGGACATATTGCCTTACCAGCAACTCTTACAAAAAGCTAATTACAGAAGCCTGTATGATATGCACACAAATATGGACAGCTTTACGGCGCTCACCAATGTCTCAGAATACAAGTTCTAAAAACGGAATGGCTATAGCTTAATTTGTTGTGAAACGACACAGGGATGACTGACAGCAACTGCTCAAAAAATAAAACCCGAGAAAATGGAGCTCAAAGAAATTGGAGCTAGAAGCTGATAAAACAGAACTCAAAAGGAAGCTGGCTTTAATTTTCATTAGAGAAATGCATCTTTGTGGCTATCTTGAGGTCCAATCTGTCCTCTTTATGATGACGCCAATATGGTAGTACTTTGCCAAGGAAAAGCTTCAAATTTGCATTTTGCTATGCCCAATTTTCACATAGCTTTTGACGAAAGCCAACCAGTAAAATGCTTGTTTTTTAAATTCTACTACTTATTTTGATTTGAAACCACACAATGATGTAAAATATGATTTCAGGTTTACAGAAACAAGATTAACTGAAAAACTGAATATTTTGACCAAATTTACAACTTCCATTGCCACGTCCCCCTTAAATGAAGGCACGTTTATTATGCAAGGTGTTTAACTCATTGGAGCCTGAACGTATCTTCCCATAAGCGTGCCCGAAGTTTCCCTTCAGGAAGTGGTGAAGATTTGTCGAAGCACCCCCTCCCAATTAAGCCAATGTATGGGGCAGACTTTGTGCCTCCTTCCCCTTTTAGGTGACTAGGGGATGCAGCCATCCCCTCTGCTTCCCTCCACTCCCCACTGAACACGCCTGTGTACCTCGCTCTTTCCTAGCCACATAATTTACGCAAATAGCAAGAACAAGTGCTGTACACAAATGCGCACAAATAATCTCAGGATCAACAAAAAGAAATGGCATGTGTACCTCGCTCTTTCCTAGCCACATAATTTACGCAAATAGCAAGAACAAGTGCTGTACACAAATGCGCACAAATAATCTCAGGGTCAACAAAAAGAAATAACAATGTTTGCGATGCGAGTTACAGTGCAACGTGGGACAACTACTGTTCAAAGAGCGACCGACGCACCTTCTTCGGAGTAGCCACGGTGCGTTACGAGCGCCTTGCGGTCATTGGTCGCACACTCGGACGACAGAGACAGGGGCACTCTAGAGCCACGGCTTTGCTGCAAAACATGATGAACGCATTGAGCGACTCACCCGAAACAGTGAGCAGGCTGGTTCGTATACTTGGCAATCTACTAAAAGCTGGAACATGCAACGGTAATGATATCTGGAGTTTTACGTGCCTAAACCACAACATTTTACGCAGCAAGCCGTAGTGGAGAGCTAAAATTGACCATCTAAGAATAATTGTTGGGGTGATAATTAGATAGTCCTCTCCACTACGGCTTGACCATCTGGTGTTCTTCAATGGGCACTGGCATTGCATAAAACAATGGCCACTAGAATATCACTTTCAACAATACAAGATCACTGCAGCCGGGCTCAAAGCCGTGCTTTAAGGTCAGCAGCTGAGCCACCACTGCACCACTGGGGTGTACTAGTGCTGGATACGAGCAAGGACCACAGTGAGGAGGCAAGCCAGAAAGTGCGACCTTTAGCTCACTGCAACACAGGGGGACGATGAACGCACTACCTCCGATCTGTCATCCTTGCGTTTTGCAGTGAGCAGGTACCAACTATGCCAAAAGTAGGAATTAGTATACAATAGACTCTCGTTGAACAGAACCTGATGGGACCAGGAAAATTAGTTCCATTTAACAGAAGTCCCGTTTACTGAGAGACTTACAAGGATGGAGAATCCAAGTATAAAATCAATCGTGATGGAGGCGGTTGTTCCATTTAGGCAGCAGTTCCGTTTAACAAATTTCCATCCACTGAAAGCCTACTGTAATCAGATACAATTTTAGCCTCAAAAGGAGATGCACACAAGTCTACACCTATGAGCACACCCTATGGACTGACGTTATGAAGAGAAGGTCAGTGACACTGCCATTGGTGATTGCTGCCGAGTTGCGCAAAGCTATTTTTTTTAATTGAAGAGACAATGTGCTGTTGCACTTCAGTCATCCATGCCAAAGGCCTGGCTGCCCTTTTAAGTAGTATCCAAGTACAGAAAGCCACTTCCATTATGTTGAATTTCAATGGCAGAGTCTAAACAAGTTTTTCTGCTTGGTTTGGTGAAAGTGTGTTGGAATGACACAGTGACGGTGGGAGCCAAGCTTCCCAATGAGAAAGTCGAAATGGATTCAGAGTGCAATCACTCTGAAAGCAGGAGATTCGCTCCGCCAAAGAAAACGGAGTGGACCGGAGCTTGTGGGAGTCACCAGCTTTGATGGTAACGGCAACTGACACGGACGAGTTGGCAAATTGTGCGGCATTCTTTCCACTGCTTTGCAGCGACACCTCTCAGTCCGAAAACGAGTTCCTGTTTGAGCGATCCATCGTACAATGATAGTGACGCTGAAATTTACATGCAAGATTGGAGATTCTACAGAATTATACAGTGGAATGAATAAGTGTATGCAAGGCACTCTGGGACACATGTCAAACGAAAGATAGATCTTCCACTTCTTCCTTGCTCCGACGACACTGTTGTATTTCAGTCGCAGATCTGGCGGAATAGCCCTAAACCAGAGCCGAGTGTTCGCTTGCGGAGTCCCTCGGTTGCTCTGACTGCCACTCAAATTGAACATTAGCTGAAGGCAAACGCGCGACAATGTCATCGTTCACATAGCACTGCAGACCTCACCAGCAGTCACTGCAGCAATCGTTTCATTGTTAAATGTGTAGCCATTTCTCTCACATCTTGCTCATTGTGCTGCCTACACCTGATGTTCTGGAGAGCTTTCAATGGTATTAGCATACAGTCGTGACATTGATGAGGGCGGTAGTCAGTACGTACAAGATGAAACTGTTTATTTGACCCAACTGGTGGCCAATAAATGGAAACCAAATTACAGCAATACACACTGGCACAGATAGCGGCGTACTGAGAGTTGGGCTTCGACGAACTAACAAGCAATAACGCGTGGCGGCATTTGTACATTTGCCGTCGAATGTTCCAGAACTATCGTTAGCGGTCATGCGAGTTACAGAAAAATCTAATGTTTCAGTTGTGCACAGAATTGCATCGGAAGTTTCTACGATTATCTCGATGGTTCTTTAGTCAATGGGCGTGGTTGCACAAGGCAGCACTTGCACATGTGAAATGAAAAATGTAAGCAATAAAAAATCTAATCGATGAAGAAATCTAACCTTTTATTACAAGTTCTGTTAGAACAGTAAAAGAAAATACACAAAGTCTGTTTGACTCAATGGCACAGGCTGGTAAGAAGTATAAACTGAAATATGAATTGAATTGAATTGAAGTTTATTTGTCCTGAAATTCTTACAGGATCGGGAGCAGAGGCTAAAGGCTATATAGCCTGACATGGGGCCTCTGCTCCTAAATACAGTTTGGCACGCAGGCTGCTCAATCTGTCGCATGTTTTCAGAAATAAATATATAACACAACAAATAACACACAGAAATAAATAAATAACACAATAAATAAACCATACAGTAAAATCTCGTTACTACGAACACCGAATTAACGATTTTTTCAGATTTACGAATATTTTGAAAATCCCCGCCAGATTGCCTATATATTTTCAATGTAAAAATATTTCAGAACAACGAATTTCAGTACAATGTATATTTCAGAATAACGTGCATAATTTATTTGCTCGCCTATATGCAAAGAACATCAGTATTACGAATTTCGTTAAAAGTAGCAGCACCGCAACTCTCACGTAGCGCAGTAGCCGCTGTTTTTTTCCATGCACGGAAGCTATCATTATCACCGTGTTGAGAGCCGACTGCTAGCGCCACCACACAGGTATGGTTTGATGTGTGGCAGCTTAGCAGGCCTAGCCTCGTTGCCTCGTCCTTCGTGCCATGCACGTGTGAAGTCTGCTGCGTTTTGTTGTCGTTCTTTTTTTCTTAGCTTTCTGCAAAGTGTTTGGAGACCCGACGATGAATGCACCAGGTGACAGCGCTAAGAAGAGGCGAAAGCAGTTTTCCCTGCAAGAAAAGATGGATTTGTTGAGGGAACTTGACTCGGGCAAAAAGCAAATCGACCTCTGCAGGGAGCGTGGCATTGCCCCGTCGACTGTCGTGACCATTTGGAAAGACAGAGAAAAGATTCTGAAGCTTCACCGAGAGTCACAACTTGCACCTACGAGGAAACGGTTGCGCCTGGGAAATTTTCAAGATGTCGACCAAGCTGTGCTGACCTGGTTTAAAGATGCCCGGCTGCAAAACATCCCAGTGTCTGGCCCAATGCTTCAAGAGAAAGCCCGCGAGTTCGCCGACGCACTTGAAGTAACTGGGTTTGATGCAAGTGCGGGTTGGCTTTTTCGTTTTCGCCAGAGAAACGGCATAACCTGGCAGGTAGTCTCAGGTGAAGAAAAGGCTGCGGACAAAGAGGGTGCAGATTCCTGGCGGAACGATCGTTTCCGAGAGGTGGCAGAGTCGTACTCCGAAGACGACATTTTCAACGCGGACGAGACCGCGTGCTTCTACCAGCTCTTGCCAGATCGGACAATGCACTTCAAAGGTCAGCAGTGTAAAGGAGGCAAGAAGTCGCATCTCCGCGTGACGGTCTTGCTCTGCTGCAATGCGTCGGGCACGAAGAAAATCAAGCCGCTTGTCATTGGAAAATACGCAAAGCCTCGCTGCATGAAGAACGTCGTATCCCTACCGTTCGACTATTGTGCGAACAAGCGTGCCTGGATGACAAGAGAATTGTTTTCGCAGTGGCTCATCAAACTCGACGAACAAATGAGGAAAGAAAATAGAAAAATTCTTTTGATCGTCGACAACTGTTCAGCCCACATTGTGAATGTTCGCTTGACGCACGTTCGCCTGAAGTTTCTGCCACCGAACAACACGTCGTTGCTGCAACCACTAGATCAAGGCATCATAAAGAGTGTTAAGGCGGAATTTCGCAAGCGCCTTGTGCAGCGTTTTATTATAAATCTCCGCTTAAAGCAGCCGACATCAGTCAACGTTCGTCAAGCGGCAGAAATGCTGACGGGAGCTTGGTGGAACGTGAAGACGTTAACAATCCGTAACTGTTGGCGAAAAGCAGGCCTAATCAAGGCGCCTGCCCAAGTTAAAGACAACCTGGAAGAGGAGCACAGCAACCCAGGAGACCTGTGGACTGACGTTGAGGAACTGTTGCCCGACGTCTCTTCCTTCGACGACTACGTGGAGAGCGACAGCGCAGCACTAACGTCGGCGGACATGACAACCGAGGAGATTGTCAACAGCGTTCGCGACGTCTCCAGTGACGACGACGACGACCCGAAGGAAGAGGACTCTGTATCACCGAACACTGAAGAGGATGAGACCATATCGCACTCGGATGCTTTAGTGCACATGAACAAAGTCCGCACCTACATTGGTCGGTGCAGTGATGTGCCCGATGAGGTGCTACGTAAGGTGGAAGGTGTTGAGGCGTACTTAATCAGCCGTTTGTGCTCCACGCGTCAGAAGAAAATCACAGATTTCTTCAAATAAAGAACGTTTGAAGTGTGTGTAATTTTTTTTTGTGTGTGTTTGCTTGTCGGCGCACACGGCAACTGCCAAGGTACGTCATGTTCGCTCCTAGGTTTGACCTCTTGCTTACAATCGAAGTTTTTCATTACAACGATATTTCAAAATAACGTACGAGTTGCGGCGGTCCCACTTAATTCGTTATATCGAGATTTGACTGTACCACAACAAAATTTAGCATGATCTTGTCACACTATTTCAGAGAAAACATTAGAAAAACCATTAGAAAAATATGTGACTAGAATAACAAGTTGTGCCTACAAGGCAAGTGTTACATGTGAAGTAACCTTCAATTGAAACAAGGAAAAGAATAAAAAAGTGCAATCGACCAAGTTAACACATCAGCAGAAAGATCCTATGTGTGATGATACATTGACCATATGTCAGAAAACACAAGGCTAAATGCATGAAATTTAAGATGTAGGAATGTAGATATCTTTGAGGCTTCTTAGATAATGAATAGACTTACGAGATAAGTGAGCACCGCTTGGCTCTTTGTGATCTGCGCCCTGAGCGTCTGCAGTTCCAGCTGGATCTGCTCCCGGACCACGTCCTCCGGAAAAGAGTACGCCTGTGGTCGGTACGTGAACGGTGCGTCACTGGTGCGTTCATGGTGCCAGGCTTTTGTGGGTAGAAGCAAGATCTCGAACACATGGAAGTCGTATGACAGGCCACAAACAGTGCACCCTCTCCACTTTCTGTAGTGACCAGCTAGTTGGTCCATGAACATTGCGGCAAAATAGCCGAACAAAGGGGACCAACATACAGGGCACAGCATTTTTTCCTCGTATGTTCGTCTCGTTAGCTCTGTTCTGCCGCAATGGCCACCCATAATTTCAGGATTTTAAGCCATCAAGTATGAGTTGGTATCGTATATAATGCTGCGCATATATGTCAGTCAACACGACGATGAAACAGTGTGAAAACGCTTGGCCTAGTGCAGGACCAAGCGTCTTCACCGGACGCTTGGTGCTGGTTGCACGAATGGCAGCAGTCAATTCAGCTAGTGATAAAGCTTATTTGTTCATGGTTCTGTGCTTGTTTGTTGACACTAGATTTTTACATTGGTTTGGATCAGCGATTCATTTTCAGCCTTTCATCATATAAAAACGTTACAACAGATCAATTCTCGGAATTTCGCTTCTTTGTATAATATAATGCAACGTTTCTTTTTTGTGGCTAACTGTAACAATTCTTGTTGTGTTGTGGTTTCGCTTGACCCATACAGAACTACAGTATCACCTTGCCCATAAGTGAGTTAGTTATATACATGCAGATAGATTTCAGTTCATTTAAAAGGAAGTTACAATATCATAGGCGATGCAGACCTAGAAAGAGGGATAATGGTGTTCAATCCTTTCAAGTGACTGCAGAAGTGTGAAGTCTGTTTATATTATGTGATGGTATTAAGATGATGCTATTAGACCACAGCGTCACGAGAAAATGTCAGGCTTGTTAAGCTGTCTGTGAGAAGATGGCACCCAAAGCACTTACAGACTCGGGGCTGGCATCTTCCAGGGCCGACACCAACTGTCTGTCCTGTAACAGCCAAAATAAAAAGTAAGCAAGCTGAATCATCAACAATTTTCCAACCACAATGGCAGAAGACTGTTCGACTGTTTACTGTTCAACTTGCCAAACAAGCAGACAAAGCATTCTTTCCTTGCCACTTATGCAAACAAATGATTTGCAAATTTTTGTGAAGTGAGGCCCCCGCTTCTTTACTTGACATTTAAAGGAAAGTAATAGAGTCAAAACATCCCGCATTGATAAATATCAGGGTACATGCGACAGGCGAATTCCTATCATTCTTTTCTTTTTCATCCTATCATTCACCATCGAACACTATCGCTGCTTTGTCATCAGCAAGATTTCTAGTTTCTTTTCCTTGTTTGCTTTGTTTATGAACACCAATTCTAACAATAATAAGTGTTCATCAGTAATTTTATTCGAGTTGCAACAGACTCACAGCTTCAATGACTTGAAAGAAAAGTCATATGGTCTATCAAATTATACTTTGAGGCTTGCAAGCACAGGAACGATAGCTGCTGCAACAGTTTGTAGAAGCAGCCATACAAACAAAGGTGCGCGATTCACATAAATGTACGACCAGCTAGCACAGAAAGCCAGAGCACTTGATGAAAATATAACTTTCTAGGTATTTAGATACGGTACATTTTTTTTCGAGGATTTTCGTGGCGACCGAGAGTATTTGGCAACAGCATGAGACTATTGCCCACTGGTTAATAGGTGGTCTAACCAAGAGATTTACTCCAGAAACTAAGCAACTCCTAGGATCTTTTATTCCTAACAAACCAGGATAAGTGGCTGATGCAAAGCTGTACAAGGCAGAATACAGCTTGGTGAATGAATACACTTTATTCATAAGCTACCTTATATATACAATAATTTGACATTAGTGTAGCGAGACAGTAGAGTACAGACAATTTCAAAGCTGAAGCTGACAGATAGTCACTGATATCCGTTCAAAGCACGCTGGTTGTTGCAGATTGGCTTTTAGTTTTTGCAGTAATAGGTCCAACACTTCTTTTTTTACTTGCAGTTTTTGTAATGTTACTTACTGTTCAAGCAGTGTAATAACATTACCACTATCAGTGGTAAACACATGTAGCAGGTAGTGAAGTACCTACACCATTTGTTATTGACGCAAACATACATAGTCAACATACCTGTTTAGCCAGAGCCAGTACTGATGCAGCCCCTGAAAAACAGCAGCACTTCAAGTTCTGTAGAAGGCGCACCACTGCATACAATACATTTGAATGCTAAAGGTGGGAGTAAATTTATTTTCCTGAACACAGGAAAAACTTTGCAAGCCCGCCATCGCACGTCTGCGATTTTCTGAATGGATTAGAAAAATGCCACATTTCCTCAAGTATAACATAGTCCTACATTTAACATGCATCACAACTGCAAACTGCAGAAAAATAAAAATGAAGAAGAAAAAAAGGATCCCCACAAAATTTCGTGAGGCTGCTTCCTCGCATTACCACAAAGAAATACATGAAAACCACTTTCACACCCGAATTTCGATAAAACCTGCAAGGTCTCTGTAAATTTGGTGCGGGCTTCTGGCAAGAAAATATGGCAAGCTACTTCGCCTATGCTTCCTCTTGAACTCTCAGAACAGCTGCACCTTTTGCGACGTCCTTCGGTACAAAGTATCTTTTCCTGAAGTTAATGCTCACGACTTTGCGCCATGATGACAGCATGCACACCACTTTTAGCTTGGAAACAACAAGTGCAAGTCTAAACAAAAGAAAAACATACAAGATAGACGACGATTATTGCTAGGCAACATAAACAATCTAGAAAACGTTCAGCCGTTTCTTTAGAATGCACACATTGTTGTAGCATACATTTCACCCAGTGCATCCTCAGTGTTACCTCTTTGAGAGCCAAATAGAGAATAGCAACCTTGGCAGTCCTGCAAGCAGTGATGTGAATGAAAGAAAGTGAAAGGGTGAGCTCACCAGCATGTGATTCCAGGACCCTGACAGCTTCATCGTTCAACCTGCGGAGCGAGTTCCGCAAGACTGTTGTGGTTTACGAGAGCACACAAGCATTAAGAATGTAACTTGAAACACAAGTAGATTGTAGTCCACTAACGCCGAAGGAAACAATTGATATCAAACTCCACTTAACATGAAACTATTATAAAAACATAGGAGTGCTTGACGTGGTGCAGTAGATACACCAATGAATAATGTTAAGCTTTGGCTGTCACGCCAGTCAATTGGCAATGTTATGGCCGATGACTCAAAGTCAGAAAAACTGCAATTGAGAACAATGTATTCTTTTAACAATTTGCATTCTATGTTATTGGTTTATTATTATTTCATCACCTATTTCAACTATTTTCATTTGTTCGCCACCTGCTAATATTCTACCAATTGTTTTTAATGCACTTTTGTCGTAGCTTTCATTTAACTGAGGGCCCTGTTTTCAACATTTATACTCTGAGGCCCTCATATGAATACAAGTGTTATGTAACTAATGCATATGTAACCAATAAGCAAACTGAAACAAAAAGAGAACCTTTATTCGATATCTCTGTTAATAGACCATACCGAATTTCGTTGAGGCTGGCAGAAGTAAGTACGAGGGCCAAATGTAATGACCGTTTCAGCTAAGCTGCTGGTCTGTGTTCTCCAAAACATACCATGGAGATACAATCATATGGTAGTCTTAGTCAAATAATGAGTTGACATGCATTTACCACCCAAAGCTTTAGATTTCATTATAACCAGTAGTAAAAGCTGCTACCTGCCACTGTTATTGCTGGCCCGCCAAGCAGCCAGAGGTAGCGCTAAAAGGGGAGTCACTGGAGATGCTTACACCCCACATTTTTGCACCCCCCCCCCCCCCGTCTCCCCCAAATCTCCTTATTAGATGCAAAGCCGCTTTTTGACTAGCCTTTGTAACGCTGTTCCACCACTCACACCCCGCTCCACTGGCTGCAGGTGTTGGGGCAGTGCCAAGTAGGTCACACCTTCCCTCAAAGCGTGCGTGCGTTGATGTCACTTTCTCCCTAGCCTGTCGCGACTCGCTGCATGTCATCTCTCTTGGTTCACCCTCTCCACCACTAGCAACCTTCGAGAGCACATCGAGTGGAAACACTTTTACGACTAGTTTACCTGCCATGAAACCTACACGAAGCCCAACCCGCCACTCGTGTCCTTGCATTTCAAAAAAGTGTTTACTCGATTAAAGGCTACACAGAGTTTCAACTTAAACTGTTCTTCCAGCACCCGCGTCGACGTTCGTTTCAGCGGGGTCAACAGTGTGCGCACCAGTGCTTCTTTGCATCCTGTTATAGTTCCCTTTTGGGAGATAGTCCATACTTTTTCAGGATGCTCTGAGGCTTAGCCTCATTTTATCTATGGCTACAAACCAGTTCATCAATGGTTTTCTGTACTGTCATATAGGGCTGATAACCTTCGCGATTCCTACCTTTAACGAAAAACGAACATTGTTATGGTAGACACTAGCGCCTGAAAACGGTTGGGTTGGCCCATACGATGCTTCAAGATTCATTCGCATCACAATACGCAGAAACAAGAAAGGGTCTTTTTAGCAGTCTAATATGGAGGCCCCATATTTCTTAGGAAAGAGTCTACACATACCAGGCCTTCACTAAAGGCCCAAAAAAAGAAAGTAACAAAAAAGTGATGATTACGCCTTCAAATAGAACAAAAAATGAAAAATCAGAATAAATATAGGCCACTGATCAGGCTAGAATCGTAAATATTCCAGGTCCTAATTATACAAACCACAATAGATTGAATCGGTCACACGACAATAAAACATGTGAAGTTAACAATCATTCATCCAGTGAAAATGCTACAGCTCATACATGCATAAATCTGGGTGAAATCGTACCACAGCCATGCAAGATGTGCCAGAAACATGGGTGACAAAATTACTGTAGATGCTATCAAGCATTAATACACACAATGTGACTCACTGAAGTGTAATCACTGCAACAAGTTCCTACAAAAAGTGCCCACTACAAGAATACATATGCTATGTATTGTACTATTGCAAACAACAAGTGATGGTACCATGTTATGACGTAGTACCATCATAACTTCAAAGATAAGCACCTGATATGGCACATAACTAAATTAATGCCCAGAATGACTAACATGAATTCATGAAAGTATATTGCATGTAGGCTGAACATGTCGATTCCTACCTCTATAACTACAGGTTTGTTTTTTACAGAATCAGATAATTTGGCCTTTCAGACAACAACAAAGTTCAAATGTGATTAACTCATATTGCTTAGACATGAGCCTGCCTATAGCAATATCAGCGATAAATGCTTTGAAGTTTTATACCTTTTGGCAATATGGGATGGCATAGGACTCCTTTAAAGAACCACTTTAAATTAAGAACATAAGGCAAACTTTTGTAAGTTGTAGTAGGCACTTACTAGTGAAGCGTAGGAATTGAATGCACTTTTGACAGCACTACACATCTTCGTGCATTCAGAAACATGCCCATGGCTGTCTCAAAACAATCAACTGGCTAAACATGCACACACGAAACATCAAATTTGCCCACATCCCACTGACGGGACAGTGGCATGGCACGAATATTCCTATTGTTACACATTCCTTTTCCTATTTCGGGAACAACATTCGTATAAAAACAATATTTCTAAAGAAACATTAGAAAGAATATTCCTCTTTTCATGTTTGCTTCCGATTCTGACAGGAATATACCCATATCAAGAATAATTCTGGAAGAAGACTGACAATAATTCTAACCCCCAGCATTCTCATTTCAGCCAAAATATTCCTGTATTAGGATAATCCCCACTAGAACACTAACAAGAATAGCCTTATTTTCCCACATATCATTCCTATTTTCACTAGCATATTCCTATTTTCACACAGCAACAAATTATTGATTAGCACATTCGCTATGGGGAAGAAGTGTGCAGAAATGTCAAATCATTGCCATCAATTTTTCTTCCACCCACAATGCTAAACTGCTGCAAGCATCATACAGCTACGGGCAAAAAAAAAAAAAAGACTATCGGGAGCATGCGCTTGACTGGTAGGAGGGAATGGTGCGTGTTGCCCATGCATCACGTGACACTAAAACAGAGGTGACTACTGCGTTTACGTGACGAGCATAGAACTTCATTCTCGAACCTCTGAGGCTGCCGTGAGCCACACTGCGAAACGCAGCTGCCCATTGGCTAGCTCGCCGGGTGGTGTAGTCTAGCTTTGGCCAATCGCGTCGTTTCTGCCCCGGCGGCGGTGTCTCTCCCAAGGTCACCACACATCGTGGCTCACTGATGGTGCGTCACAGAGAAAAAAAAGAGCACGACACTCCGGTCAGGTCAGAAAAAAGAGCCAACTTATCTGTAACTGACAGTTATTGACACAAGTTCACCGTTATGTCCCCATCCCTGAAATGAACCTCAATACGAATGACATTCCCGCGCCATGCAGGTTTCCCAGAGCTGGGCACGTGCCACCTTTTCATAACCAATACGACAAAAACAAAGGCCTATGATAACATAAGAAAAGCTTCATTCGCGCAGAAACAAAAAGAAAACGCCAATGTCCACAGCGCAACCTAAGCTGACACTGGCGACGAAGCAGAACCATACACCAGTGAGGGCGCCAAGATCAACTTTCACACGGGCGCCGCGCCGCACGCAAGAGGACTCGCCAGCATGGAACAGGACTCCCAAAATAGCAAGCCAAGAGTGTGCAGCACGGGCGAGAAGGAAAAGCAACAGAATATCCGGCGAGGAAGAAGGACGTGGAGGCCCGAGCACGCACGCAATCGAAGGAGCGATTCATCCATCAATTCGATACCGTTCCGCCGCAAGGTTCACTAGGATCCGCGGTTTCGTAACACAACTGACGTACGCTGAGGAACGGGGAAATCGGGATCTGGGGAGCACGCGCAGGTTTCATAACACGCGCCGGCATCGCGACTGTAGGCGTTTGAGTGTGATCGCAATCTTACTCCCCCTACCAAGAAATGAAGTCTATGAAGCCCCCAAATGAGGCGATACGACACGTGACAAGCAAACCCACACTTCAAGATGTCCCTGAAAGAGCCAAAAATAGAAGCCACCTCCATTTAGTGCCAGTCAGCCACTCATAAAAGAGGTAAGAGAAGGGGCAGCACACACAAAAGCCACGGCAAGCCGACGCCACGAAATCCCAAACACAACCCGGCGCGAAAGTCAATAATTGGTGGTGCTTACAACTCAGAAACGATTATGGTTATGAAGGACGCCGTAGTCGAGAGCCTCTAAAATTTCGACCAACTGGGGGCTCTTTGACGTGCGCCTAACTCTAATTACACAAGCCTCAAGCACTTCTGCCAACACCGAAAATGCGACCGTCGAGGTCGGGAGTCGATCCTTGCGACCTTAAGAGTCAGCAGTAGAGCACTATGACCATCAGATCAACGCGGCAGGTGCAACACACAAACAAGCCAACTCGCACAGGCAAGCAACACGCGCGAATCGCAGCAACAGCACGAGCGCTCCGGCAAACCCACGGACGTCCCAAACATCGCCAAACCAAAGGGCCCGCGCGATGCGGACCTCGGGCCAGCCGACAACGACACCGCGCGGAAAGCGAAACCAACGCAGCACGCGCAGCCAAGCCAACACAACGCACCCGGGAACAGCAGCACGGAGCCGTCGGTAGAGCTGCGTCGAGTCGCCGGCGGCACATATCCCCTCAGGAGAGATCAGACGCGTCGGCAGCGCAGCGGCTTAGAAGGCGCACGCCGCACCGTCTTCGCTACGCCAGCAGCGGCGGCAACGTCGGCACCACACCTCCGGGGAGCGGATGCGCAAGGCGACCGATCGGCTCGCGCTACAGCCGCACGCACCCAAAGGCAGCAGCAACCCTCCTCCCCAATCCAAGGACGGCGACCCATTTT